TTTTTTGGTGAGGAAGATTAGCCCGGAGCTAACATCTGTTGCCAATCCTCCTCTTTTTACTGACGAAGATTGGCCCTGGGCTAACATCGGTGCCCATCTTCCTCTATTGTATATGGGATGCTGCCACAGCATGGCTTGATAAGCGGTGTGTAGGTCTGTGCCCGGGATCCAAACCCACGAACCCAGGGCCACTGAAGCAGAGTTTGCAAACTTAATCACTACACCACCATGCCGGCCCCGTGGGGGGGAAGTTTTTGTCCTTCAGTAATAAATTTGTCCATTATCTGCTCTCAAAATCTTGTACATGAGTTTCTCAACATGTTGATTATTTTTTATAATGGATAATTCAGCTTTGTTGATGTTATGTAATTAATAATTTTTGTAGTTTGAAATGAGAAACAAAAGAAAACCATGTGAGTAATTTACATAAATTTATACTTTTGGTGCTTGGTGATGGTCTTTCAACTCCTGACCCGTTGTTATTCATCCCATTCGTTAGGGATTCTCTAGAGCATGTGTCTTTCATTGATGGTGTTGTGTTGAATCTATTTCCCATGCAAATTAAAAAAGAGAGAGAGATCTAGAAACCTACTATTGAATTTGTCAAGGAATTCAAGAAACATTTCTAGAAAACTTTCAGATCCTCAAATGAATCATAGAGCCCCATGGCCTTAAAAAAATCAACAGCTTTTGGAGCCATGCTTTTAATAATTTTTAATATTCGGAAGGTGCTGCAAATTGAATTTGAAACTTATACTTTAATCTGTGGGCATATAGACTTGCCCTGCCTGGAAACTGGGGCGTTGTGTACAACTCAGTCTACACAATTCTCCTTCCTTTTATAGCTTCTCCAGTATTAGATTGAACCATATGAAATTGCCATTTTGTAGGTAAAAAGTAATAGAATTTCAACATTTCATATAATTCAGACTAATATGCTAATTATGACACTTCTCTTTCTTGTTTTGTCTGTTTGGCCTCAGAATACTCTGTGTGGACCATACCTGTTGGGAGAGAAGATGGTGTCTGTGGTCAATAAGGCCAGACAGTGTGCACTGAATGTGGATGTGATAACAATTTGTAAAATACTTAGTTATTTTTACCTATTATGTTTAGAGTAACTCAAATTCAAGAGTACTAGGTAAAAGTATAATTATTATTTCTATTATTACTTTTAAAAATAAAAATTATAGTAATTATAGTCAATTTTTAAAAAGCCACTTCAAAGCAATTTTAGTCTTGAGGCAATATTGATTTATTAATTATTCTAATTTTATTCAAATAATCTGAAGATTAAAATTTAGCATATTTTGCCACCAATAGAAACATGATTTATCAAGCAAGCTTTTTCTCAGCATTTAAGAGTTGATAGCCCCATGCTGGGTACTTTCCAGAATTCAAAGAAAGTAGGAGACAAGTCCCTATTTTAAATAAATGCATAAGCTTTAATGGAAACTACAGAAAATATTGGTTCCATGGGAAAAGGTGACTTATAATACAAATAAAAGACAATATTCATAAGGAAGACTGAACATAGAAGAAGGAAATCAGTATAGACTTTTCTTGTGCTTGAACACTCCAGTTCTCCCACTAATGTTGTGATTTCACACTCGCTCATAGAAAGAATTTTTCTGAGCGCCTGTATGTTCCAGCCGCTGTTCCAGGTGCTCTGGAGACACCAGTGTCCCAACCCGTGAAGATGATTTCGCTCATGACACTAGTAGAGTGAGGCACGTAGTGAATGGTAAACATGATAAAATTTATGGTATGATTGAAGGTGACAAGTACTATAGAAAAAAGGAAAACTGGGGCGGGGGATGAAGGGCTGTGAGAGGCACGAGGCTGCAGCTTTCGCTGTGGGCGTCAGGAAAGCCCTGGTTGGAAGATGGTATGTGACCAAAGCTTCAGGGGGGTTAGGAAGGTACGCCTCCATTTAGTCCTGAAGAGACTCAAGAGTGACCTACAAGTACACAGACTAATATATTTGGGGAATGAAACCAAGGGTCTTCCAGGGGAGCCACGTGGGTGAGCTGACTGAATCTGGGGATGTAGTTAAATCAGATTCCCAAGAATCGGGATCTGAGATCAAGCAGGGATGACAGAGGGGCAGAGACAGTGTCATCGCCGTGAGGAAAAGAAGCACGGAGTCCGATTTCTGTTTACTTCTAAGTTCTCTCCACTGTAGTTGAAGCTCCTTAAGGAGGAGATGTTGTTTCCTTTTTCTCTAGAATCTATCAAGTGTCTGAAATACATGTGTTGATGTATGTGTGTCACCAAGAGTGGTTAAAGGAACTGACGATGGTGCTCAGCCAAGGTCTCGACTAGCTTAGGCTCATTAGCACAAATATAAAAATCATGCAAGTCTCTCAATTATCTGTCGTGCTGCGTTCTTAGAATATAATGTAAATAAAGGCAACAATTATATTTTACACACAGTGCTTATTCTACAATGGACATGTCAAAGTGATAGTTCCTTCACTAACAAATGGAAAAAAAAGGAAAAGAGGAAGAATATGCCAACCCGTTCTCAGTGGCTGAGCCGGACGTCCTGATTCTAGATGACTCCCAGAGAGTACTGAATGTTTTTGGAAGCTGTGCTATCTTTCAGACTGACCAAGAGTGTTCTGTGTGCTTTGTGAGATCTTGATGGAATATGACTCATGTTTCAAGAAGCGACAGGCTTGCGCATCATTTTTTTGTGCTCATAAGTGAACAACAATGTGTTAAAACAAAACATTTGCTGCAAAAAATAACCTTAGCATCCACAATCACTGAGGAAAAATAGACGTTTAACAGAGGGATCACATTGAAAGGGACATTGTTGGAGGAGAAGGATCCTTACCAGTATGTAGGATTCACTGAAACCTAGAATTTCTTGTAATTATTACCTAGGATAATCATGTTTTTTTTAAATGTGATTTATTTATTTTAGAGCTGACAAACTGGGGGAAGAGGATAGGGGTGGTGGCAGTAACCGTATTTCAGACATCAAAAAAGGCAATATGACCCTACGTACAGATGAGTTAACCTAAAAGCAATGAGTCATAAGGACTGAATATTGAAAAAATGTTTGAGAAAGGAAATAAAAACAGTAAAACATCAAGGTCAAAATCCTAGTCACAATTTTTACTGAGTAGCTCTGAAAGATTTTAGCAAGTATTGCGCCCCCTAGTGGTTGTTTTTGAATGAATTATCTTTTTTTATTTATTTTTATTTTTTAAATTTTACCTGGGCTCCCAGTTTTCCGGCTTCATTATTTTGGGTAACCACCAGAAGGTCCACATGGTCTCTGACTAGGGGAACTCTTGGGAGGCCAACTCAATTTGGTTGCCCAGGTTCATGCCTGCAGAAAGAGTGATGCCAGGGATGTTAGAGTACGTGGTGTGTCACGATCAAGTTCAGGCTTGACAAGGTAGGCTCACAAAAGGCCAGTCCTGTCTGATTCATCTGTGTTCCAGACAAGGAAGGAAAGGAAAGCAGTGACATAAGACCCCAGACTCTTCAGCCCTCCAGCACAGCGCAGCACAGATCTTAAGCAAAGCCAGCCCGCAGAATGACTGCAACACATTTTAGTGAGGAAGATCGCTGCCTGAGCAAATAAAAGAAGGCTTACAAAATCAAAGACAGAGGATGTTTCTGGAATCTGTTTTGCCTGCGAACAGAATGGGAGAGAGCACAGAAAGAAAGTCACTTGCTGAGAGGAGAAAAACGGGGACCTGTGCTAGGAAGCAGAGACGGTGACTCTGCTGCGTCTCCAGGCAGCTCTGTGACCTTGGTCAGACACCGTGGGCCTTAGCTTTTCACCTAGGAAACAAGGGTGTAGACTAGGCCGTGTGGTGGCCATGAACCCAGAAGATGGACAGAGGCAAGGAGTAGCAGGCTCCATCTCGTACAAAAGAGCCGTCATTTGAATATTTATGAAAGCAAAATTAGCTGGTGATCAAAAAGTGGAGAAGGAGAGAAGAAAGGTGGCTAATGGAAAATGCAAATTCATCCTAATGCATTCAAAATATAGTATAGAACTGACAGAGACAGTTCTTTCCAGAAGGAAGAGAATGAAGCATCTCGTTCTGTCTCTAAATTTCCTCCAGTGTAGTCTCCTTCCCTCTTCTCTATCATCACCTTGTTTTTCTCTGTACTTTCTGTTTCCGGTAACTACGGTGATGCTCCCTCCCCGCAATCTTCTTCACAGCTGGCCCTTTTGGTCCACATCGAATTTTGCGCCATTCACAGATGCAGGAAGCTAACAATGCTGTAAAAATTTATTTATTAACACTTTTCTCCTTCCTTTTTGTCCAAGAAATAAATGTAGGGAATTACTCCACCTTTAACCTCCCTACATGAGGGGCGCTGTAAAACCCGGATATTCAACTGTTAATTTCAGCTGCTAACATAAAGGGGATACTGATTATGCCAGAGATTCAGTTCCCTGCCTGGTCCTCAGGGGCTGTAAAGTCCCAGTACACAAGCTGGTTGCTATCTCATTTTGCTTTTTTATGTACAGGGAATAAAGTCGATTGCCCACAGAAATCACACATCAGCCCTGGTTTCCTAAGCCTCTTTGTTTTTTGCTGCATTCTCCCTTGTAGGGAAAACATTGCCAAGTGCATAATCATCACAGTTACAAAGTGACTGAATTTTCCATAAGAAAATCTACATAAATATATGCATTTCTCGAATGAGCACAGTTATTTATTTTGGAATATAAATAAGCAATGTGTGATAGTTTTAAAAATATTGTAATTATCTGCCAATGACAAAACATCAAAGAATCTGTGATGTCATCAATGCAGATAATAAAAATTCCCATAAACTGTCGTTTAGTCATATCCAGTTTCTGTAGCCTGACTTATTTGTAATCCTATATGCCCGGAAACTGTCTCTCTGTTTGAGCACGGGGTGTGTGTGTGTGTGTGTGTGTGTGTGTGTGTGTGTGTGTGTGTCTGGCATTAACACAAAGGAGACCAGACGATGACATTCATAGGCTTACAGACTGACTCCTGGGGACACACTTGGATGGAGGCGATTGAAATGCCTGTCAGGGGTTTGATACCAGCAGCCCCCACGGCAAAGAACTAGATCATAAGCCAGGGCTGCATCTTTTTGTCAGTGAATGATGGCGGAGCTGGGTGGCTTGTCATCATTCTAGAAAATTCTGAGGCTAGCGAGCGCTCTCTCCCTCTCCCACTCGCCTTATTTTGCTTTTCGCCACTGCGGGGACTTTTTCTAATTTGCAGCTTCCCTTTCCCCGACACACACAGACAGGAGCTCGTGGCTTGCAGACTGCGTCTGTCTGGGGCTGGAGAGCAGAGCCAGCCCGCGGGGATAATGCTCCGGCAGGAGGATTCTGCAGCAATCCTCAAAGGCTAGACTTGGGTGGTATCGCTGCATATGCGCTGGTAATGGTTTGGGGTCTTCTAAATTTTATTTTATTTTGAATCCGTTTTTCAAAGGATCTGCTTTATGTGATCTCAAAGTAAAATGCTTTAACATTCATTACCGAGCTTCCAAAAAATTCCAGTACTGCCTTTTTGGTACCACAGATCTCAAGACGTAGATTTACTATCTGGATATAAAGAATGCATTTGCTTACTGGTGAGTTCCAATTTTCATATTTTGTTAACGAATCTACGTATGTATTTTTTCCTTTGTTTTGTTTTGGTAGATTCTCCAGCTTGGCTCTAACCGAAGAAACATTGACTGGGAACTACTCATTCAGAAAATTAAAAGGTACCACATGTTTTGTTTGGATGTTTAAATGGGAGAAAATCGTGGAAGATTTGGGATGTTTTTAGTTAAATTAATCTCTGTATGGTGGGTCTTTATCCTTGAGGCTGCGTGTCATTGTCTATAGCGTGTATGATTTCCTACGCAGAGAACGCCCTTATCAAGGCTGTTGTGATTACAAGATGTCTAAAAAATTGTCTTTTGCCTCTGTTGCAAGATGTTAACAAATATAAATATGTCTGGCTTATTTTCGAATTTTTATCATTGTAACAGCTAAAAAAAAATGTCCAAAATTCTCTATCTTAATGAAAATTCAATAATCTGAATGTAAGAGAAATATACTAAGTCATGATTTTATCTCAGGGCATCCTGCTAATAAGTGGTTTTTAAAAATGGCTAAATAAAATGGTTTGCCGTTCCCAGGTGGAATGAGCGCGAGAGACGAAAGCCCAGAATGACTCAGTATTGTTGGGTTTTGGGAATAAAATAATGGACTTCTTCACTGATGCTTTAGGCTTTAGCACAGGATATATTTAAAGGCCAAGGTTGTTAGTTATTAAGAGAACTGATTTTATATATGCTTTATTGGGCGTTGACAGCATAAGAAAGTAATCCTTCATCTTGCCGTGTAAGCAGTTGAATCCATTGATCCTGGGCCTGATGCCTTACACAAAAAATATTAATTTTCAGATTCAGCATCAGGATGTATATTGATTGGAGATGGCAATTATGAATATTACATTTTCTTTACTTCTTTAAGATAATCTTTGACTTTAACGTATACTCATGTCAATAAAACGTATATACATAATTTGCCTTTAAAAAAATGGGGAAGACATTTTCTGCCTTCCTGAGAAGAAAATCAATATTAGCTTTTAAATCTTTCCTTGGCATACATATAGTATTTCCCCTCAAGACTATCAGTCCAAAATATTTAATGCAGTAAGGTTAGTTTTAAAATGTACGTTAAAAATGGCTAATGTTCACCTCCTGATCTTGAAATCCCCAAAGTACGTGCGTGTACATCTGTGAGCGTGGATATTTGTAGCCCTTGAAGGAGACGAATGCATTGTCCTTGTTTAATTTCTTCTGCGATGTGTAATTATGGGAACCTGAGTGCATTCATTCCACAGCCCTTGTTAAGAGCCTTGCTGCTGTGGGCAGTCATTGTGGGAGGGGAGGGGCAGAGGCCACCGGCACCACCCTTACCCAGCGCAGGCAGCAGCACAGGGGAATGAATTTGCTAAAATACATCAGTGTGTTCCAAAAAAGGAAATTGCGTTATTTCAGATATTGAACAAAATCTAATAGACCGGTCTCAGAAATGCATGAAATGTTACATTTTTGTCCTCAGAAATTACTCAGTGGAATCATATATGAAATCCCCAAACAGGATTTACTATTCCTCTTGGATATTGTAAAACCCTTGGGACCATACTCTCTTTTTAGGTTTCACTCAGAGTAAGTGAAAACATTTCATGTTTGGCAACAAACAAATAAACAAACCCATCTATTTGGTATTTTTCCATCTAACTAAATCCGTATGGTAAATATTTCATGTGAGAATCTGTTTCCTAATCTTCTGACTCATTTAGCAAATCATTGCCATATTAATTTTGAACTTTGGGGTATTTTCAAGAATTGGAAAAGGATAAAATTATTTAACCACTAAAAAAATGTCTTCAATATATTGTCAATAGGAACTCATCAGGTTTGTTGCGATTTTTCTGGGTAGTGGAGAAGTGGCATGTTAACCTTACCAAGAGCCTCTTTGTGCCTAAGTTTTGTAGGACCATTTTAAAATTCATCCAGGGGTGTGTTGACAGATTTTGTGTAATAAACCAGAGTTTATCCAAATAGTCTATGTCGTCAAATCAGAATAGAATTTGATTATTGGACTCTCAGAGAGTCAGGGATCTATATCACGGTTTTTCTAATCAATATCGTCTTGGCATTAGTTAATTCCTTTACTGATTTTTTCACTCGTATCTTTAGCACCTAGAATAGAGCCTGGACCACAGTTGGAGTTCAATAAATATTTATTTAATTATTTGATAGATAAATGAATTCATCTGCGTTTTCCTCCGTTACGTTTTCGTTCTTGTTTTTCGTGAGATTACGCACTGTAAAACAGAAATTTGGTACATTTCCTTTTTTTTTTTAGTTACCCAAATATTCATTGTATATCTCTAACTAATGATAATTAATTACATAATTAATACTGGGTAGAAAAGCAGGCGAACTGTTTGTAGCAATTTCTCCAGGCTATATGGAAAAGAATTTTTCTGGTTTTAGGCTAAGATGGAAAGAGTTTCTGAAATGTCCCCTTTCGCTTTCGTCAGTCAGGGGACAGATGCCAAACTGCAGCGTGAGTTTCGCTTTATGGACGCTTCCTAAACACTACTCCCCGGCTTGACGTTGTTTATTGCTCTTCACGTCTTCAGCCAAGATGTAGCCGCAGCAGAGGGAGGAGGCCTCTCTCGCTCCCTCTCTCAATGTAATACTAGAAATGGTGTCATAGTCTTCTTAAACGCTTTCTTGCTCATTGAGGACTGCTAAGTGTGACATCATTTTATAAATATATATTTAAGGAATCTCTAAAGAAACTTCTAGAATCATAATAGCTTCAGAGAATGCTATTCTTACTTGTCATTTATTTTTATTAATAAAACTATAATGTTTTGTTATTAACTATGTGCCAGATAGTATCCTAAGCCCTTAACACATGTTATTTCCTTTCCACTCTCCCTACAATCCTGGGAAGTGGGTCTGGTCTCCATTGTACAGATGAATGAACTGAGACTCCAACATGGGCAATAACATAAGTCTGGCCCAAAGTCTTTCATATTAACCACAATGTACTACATTTTTTAGTAGATTTTTTGACTCATAGTCATTATTTTAATGTTTTTTTTGTGTACGTGATATATATGTTACTGCAATAAGGTTAAAATGGTATCCTCTAGGTTCTTGTTTTTCTATACACAAGGTAGAAGTGAATGTCTCTTCAGATACTTAACTACAATATTCAAGCTCTGGTATATTTTATATTTTTAATATATATTTTATATTTGACCTGAGGAACTTTATTCTTTAAGGAAGAATATCAGAGATAAATTAAGAAGTTTTAAAATAAACGAATTCATAAAGCATCTCCTCTATCATTACAATAAAGTCATATTACTGAATTGCATAATCTATGTAAGAAAGTTAGCCAGAGAATTCAAGTGCTAAATAGCATAACTGATGCCATTATCTTGCAAAGGTCTTTTTTTTTTTAATTGAATTAATGGCAGAAGAAGTTTCAGATGGCCGGTATAAATAAACAAGCAGGGAACAGTACCATGAACAGTGAGAAAATACCACGTTCAACCTTAAGTACAACTAACCCAGAAGAATAACTGAGGGTACTGACAGTTACACAAATATGCATTAAGGTGCTCTGCTTGCAAAGGGGTATAAACAACAGAACACTTTCGGAGCTCAGCCGGCGCAGCAGGATAAGACAGGGAAGTAGCACCGATGCTCATTGGTACCATAAGAGACACATACATGATTTCTTAATAGACTTCCTTGTAGAACAAGATGACTAACAATTGAGAAGGGACTCAACAGGAAATAGATTGTGGAGGATGAGTCTTTTGAGGTGGAACTTAGAGATGAATAGAGGTATTCAAGGGAGAGATAATGCATGGAGGAAATCCAGGAAGAACAAACAACGTGAGCAAAGGGACCAGAGGAAGTGAACACACTTGGAAAGCGTAGACCGATCTCGGTTGTATTCTAGAGAACAGGGCAGAAGAAGGGATTCTTAGCAGATAAGGATGGAAAGGTCCGTGAATAGGAGTAGGTTGTATCGTATGAAGTGGCTAATAGTCTATCCTTTTTGAACTAAAAAATAAAAATTTCATTCAGTTCCACCTAATACATTGGAAGGGGACGTTAAATGCCAAGTTGAGGGGTTTCTTCAGTATTCAGCGGGAAGCTGTTGAGCGTATTTGGAATAAGAGACCACTATAAGGTAAACTGCGTTTTCAGATGACTTATTTTATACTCTGTATGAGATAAATTAGAGTTGTGTGTGAGAGCATGTTGGAGAAAGTATCCTCTGGAAGCTGTCATAGGATAATCCCGGAAAAAATGGGTGCTCAAAGAGGGTGTTGACAGTGGGCACAAAAAAAGAGGTAATGACGATGAGAGATGTTTCTGAGGTCAAATGCTTATACACAGTATAGCAGCTCTTGACTAGTAGGAGGAGTGAGAAGCAGAAGGACTCAATGGTGGCTCTAGCAGCTGAATTTGATAACTGGAAAAATGAGAGAAGAAAGGTAGCTAAAAGCTCCTTGAGGAAAGAGGCTCCTTTTTATTTTTATTGTATTCCTAGTCTCTAGCAGACTGCCTGGTACACAGAAGACAGCTAATAAATGCTGACTGAGTTAGTAAGAGAGTGAATAAAACATGAAGAGGCGGGTTTGGGCCATGGTGGCTGGATAAGTAGGTGGATTGGTCTGGTAGATTGCAGAACAGGTAGATCAACAGCTGAGAAATTAGGGAGATAGGACGTGGATGACATTATCAAGAAAGGTGAGACAGGAACCAGAGAGAAAACTATTAGCAGCACTGACATTTAGGATGCAGAATGAGGGGCAGAAATTGGTTAAAGGAAGAACTTAAAAAAGAAAAAGCAAAGAAAGAAGGACAGGTGAGGTAGTAGAAAACCAGGCTAAAATTCAAGTTCTACAGAAAAATTGAAGAATGAGAATAAATAAAAGACCACTGGATTTATTATTTATTTCAGTAATGTTTTCTGTTGTAAAAAGAGTAAATCCACCTTTTATAAAATTTAGACAAGTGTAAAGAAGGATGGAATGGTCATCCATAATTACACAATCCAGAAATTATGGTTAACACTTTTTAAGCCACTTAGCTTATTTCTTTTCATCTAGTGCATTTGAATTTACATAATCAAGATCAGAACAATACAATTTTGAATTCTTCCTTTT